CTTTTCATAATATGAGAATTTCAAGAAAAAAGGAGGCTTAGCTGTTTCTGATCTAAATCTATACCGAAAGGCTACTACCCTGGCAACTATTGTCCGACAATATCACGAAGACTACACCTTAGTTTGGAAATGGATTGAAGAATCTACCATCTCAGACCTTACCTTTCGGGAACTTTTATGGCAAAAATCGTTCAAAGATGTCGATACCAAAATTAAAAACCCATATATGAGAGCATCGCTCAAGACATGGTACAAAATAAAACCCAAAACTACCAGAAAATTCTCACAAATAAGCACATTTACCAGGCAAAAATGGTTTAAACCAGCTGAAAACCCTAAAACGTTTGGTATCTGGAGAGCAGCCAAAATTCTAGAATTATAGATGTGATGCATAAAAGCAAAATAATACCGAAAGCAGACTTAGAAAAGAAAAATAAAACGGACATCAAATGGTTCGAATATTTACAAGTGCAAAATTTGATACATACAACTGATTTCATCTCTTCAACCAAACATCCTCTTTTGGACCTAGAAAAACTGTTACTTAATCACATACCAAAAAAGTGCTTATTTCTAAGATCTACAACGTTATCGTCCAATTCATACAAAACAGCCTCTAAGCTACCAAACAGCTTGGAACTCCGACCTTAAAACTCAGCTGACAGATGAAAACTGGACAGAAATTTGGCAAACACAAACAAAAATATCCAAAGTATCTGCAAGAAACTAATCTTAAAGTTACCACTAGATGGTATTTAACACCATCCAAACTTACACACATAAACCCATCCACAACACCATACTGCTGGAAACTTTGCGGAGAAAAGGGCAATTATTTCCACATTGGTGGTCTTGTAAACTGATCAAACGTTTTTGGAATCAGATCATAACCCAGATTGAAAAATTAACTAACTACAATTTACCTTTGACTCCCAAACTGATGCTGCTTCACCTATGGCCTCCTGATAGACCTCCTGAAAATACAAGAAAATTAATCAACATTTTATTAACAACCAAATCAACAATAGCTAAAAACTGGAAAAATAAAAAACCTCCTACAGTAAACCAATGGATACATAAGAGTTGGGATACATTTATGTTAGAAAAAATTTCGATATATAATACCATACATCAAAACAAATGTGAATTTTATAATCCACTCAGTATATGGTTCCCAATACTAGACAAAATATCTTTACACAGATTTGACTGGGAGAACATCTCTGAAGCTAAATACAAGATAATGCTTTATAATTAAAAGAGAGACTTAGTATGTTATTCCTTCAACATCTTAATAATTACTGTTATCACAAAATCAAAGATCTTAGATAACAATTATTTAATGTTATAATTCACCTGACATCCAAAAAAGATTTATATGTAAATTTTCGTTTTATCTCTATGTAACCAACCCATTTTCTTCTTTGTAAAATGGTTTGTGTCATTGTTTTATTGAAAGTTAATAAAATTTCTATTTTAAAAAAAAGCAAAAGTGTTTGAAAACTTGAGATATTAATTCCTTCCCAGAATAAGTACTCCTTTTTGGGAGGAGGAGAACCCATGCGCCTTTGGTTGGTGCAACTTTCTTGATCAGGACAATGACAGTGTTCCCCTTGGAGCTCAAAGAATGCAGCCATGAGTTTCCAGTTTTTCCTTTGGGTGGCTGTTGCAGGCAGGTTCAGTCTCATAAGAGGGGGAATGGGGAAATGAGTGACAGGACATCATGTGTGATGTAGCTCTTGGAGCAGGAATTAGGGATGGGCATGAATCGGCTCATGAACTGAAGTTTGTAATGAATTTCGGCCAGTTCATGGTTCGCGAAGTTCGTGGCAGGTCAAATTTTCCACGAACTTTCAAGCTGTTTGTGGCGGGTTGTGAATGGATATATTTCCGGACAGACTGTCTGAGCTCAGTCTAAATGTTTACCAAACTGCAAAGCAACAGAAGGGGCAGAACTTGAAGAGCATGTAGAGGAGCGTCCGGGGGAGGTCTTTGATGTCTCTAGCTTACACAGGATCTGTTCTATACACTCCCGAACCTGTGCCTGTCATTTCCCCAGGAAGCGCTTTCCTGGGGGCACATTCTTTGGGGGAACGTAACTCGGACCCCGTAATTCCAGTCTTCACCAAACTTGGAGGGCCGGTAGAGGAGAGTCAGCCATAGATCCCTTGCAAGTTTGGTGCCGCTACCACACCAGGGGGGCATTCTACCATGTCACAAACGGAATCAGTTGTTTGGCCGCTAAACATTTGTGACGATTCGTGATGGCATTTCCCCAGCTTGTTTATTTATTTATTCTATTTATACCCCGCCCTCCCCACCAAGGCAGGCTCAGGGCGGGGTATCAGGGGACCCATCCCTGACAGGGATCCCCAGCCGTTTTGAGCCTGTGGGCATCTTTGTGATTCTGACACAGGGTGGTTGAGGCAACCACAAAATGGCCACCGCAGGAAGTGGAGCTACATACTTAGGGGAAGCCCAAGTGAAGGGGAGGAGCTCTTTGGAAAAATGGGTGCACTGGGAAAGACAGAGAATATAATGAACACTGTGGTGGCACTTGCCACTAAAACTAGGTTGTTTAATCTGCATCATCAATCTAATCTTGTTGGGTTTGTGAGATTGAGAAAAATTGTATTTAGCAGAGATAAAATAGCTTAGCAGTGCCAGAGTAAAATAATTCAGATTCAGAGTCCATGTGTGATTAAAATATAAAGTTTTTACTAAATTCTAGCATAGGGAAAGGGTAACTGGGATGAAAATAACAACAGAGCTAATCGGCTACATCCTTACACTACAAAATACAAGACTAGAAGAGGGGGTAATGGCTGCTCCTCTTTCTTCTTGAGAACTCCAAACAAAGATGGAAAGAGAAGCCATAAAATGCTAAAACACTTTGACACATTCGTTCCAATCAAACTCTTAGATCAGGGAGAATTTCCCGGGCTTGTACTTCTAAAACAGCATTGGTTACATGAAACACATGTGACTTCCTGTGAGCAACACAAACAAACATTTAACCCCAGATACACTGAGTGTTTTCAACTTGTAATACCCAACAAATCTTCAGTCACAAACCCCCTGCTGGGTAACGGCTCCACCTGGCTCCACCTACTTCCTAAAAACACTTGGTGTTGCTAGGCACCCTGGTGCCCGCGGGCACCACGTTGGGGAACCCTGTCTCAGCTGTTCATTCCAGACGTGATGCAGAAGCAACCTGGAGGTGACCACAGAGTCCCCAGTGAGCTCAGCCAGTCAGGGGTCCCTGAGGCACATGAGAGAGAGAGAGAGAGATTAGATTTATACCCCGCCCTTCACTACCCCCAAAGGAGTCTCTGAGCGGCTTACAAACTCCTTTCCCTTCCCCTCCCCACAACAGGCACCCTGGGAGGTAGGTGAGGCTGAGAGAGCTCTGACAGCAACTGCTCTTTTTCAAGGACAGCTGTGCCAGAGCTTGTGACTGACCCAAGGTCACCCAGCAGGGGCAAGTGGAGGAGTGGGGAATCAAACCCAGTTCTCCCAGATTAGAGTCCGCGCACTTAACCACGACACCAAACTGGAGAGAGAGGGAGGGAGACCCATCAAATGCACATTTTCATGCATACCTTGAGAACTTCCCGAGTATTGCAAAGTAACCCAGAGCAAGCAACGTGGGCAAGAACGGAACTGATGGACACCACTGCTTGGTGATGTGAGCTTTGAAGCAGAAGGGGAATAGTCATGGTCAGTGTTCCCTCTAAGCTGAGTTAGTGTTCGCTAGCTCACAGTTTTTTAGCCTCTGGCTCACACATTTTTGTTTTAGCTCAGGAGGGATGGCTCCAGAGCAAACTAATTGATGCAGCAGCCCAATTGCTCACTCACAACTTTAATGCCAGTAGCTCACAAAGTAGAATTTTTGCTCAAAAGACCCCACAGCTTAGAGGGAACATTTTAACCTATTTATTTATTTTAAATGCTTATATGCCCACCTTTCTCCAATGCACCTTGAGACAAAGACCCATCCTTCAGGTTTTATATGCCTTTTGTTAACAGACTATGCCCCTGTGCAAGTGGATCTATTGAAACAGTGTCTCACGTGTTACTGGGATGTTGTTATCATGTCAGCATTCGGCACAACATTTTATCGCCATTACTTGGTGGCATCACAGAGCTTCTGCTATATCTGCTAAACAACGTTGATGAAAATATAACTGACTCAGTGGCAAAGTTCTTTCGGGCTGCTCTTTTTATACGTACTACAGTATTGTAACACAAAATTTGTTTTGGAGAGATATGAAAGTGGGACTTATTTATATGGATTTTAGATTATTTTAGAACAGGGTGTTGTTGTTTTTCCTTTCCCCCTAGTTGATATATGTGCCTTATGCAGGGCTATTTTTGGGCAGGAACGCACAGGAACGGAGTTCCGGCTGGCTCCCGAGTTGGCCACGCCCAGCAGGAACTTATTAGCATAACAGGCCACACCCAACAGCAGAAACTCATTAGGATTGGCTACATTAGGGGTGTGTGGCCTAACATGCAAAGGGTTCCTGCTACAAAAAAAGCCCTGGGTTTGATGACAAAAAAGGTAAATAGGATAAGAAGCAAAAGGTGGGTGTGGCTGGATGACCACACTTCTGGTAATGTGGGTGTGTGGATTAATATGCTAATAAGCGGCTATCTCAGGGTGTGGCCTAATATGCTAATGAGTTTCTGCTGTTGGGTGTGGCCTATTATGCTAATGAGTTCCTGCTGGGCTTTTTCTACAAAAAAAGCCCTGGCCTTATGTTTTATTTATTTATCTACTTGTGTGTTTTCTCCAATGTCAATGCCAATAAAGGGAACTGGAGTGAACTGAACTGCCAGACCAATTCCTTCCCCCCCCCCCCAAATCAGTGGTCAACTGTAATTGGTGATTTAAAAAACCTTCCTCATTTTAAGGGAATGCAGAAAATAGTTCTTTTTTAAAAAACAAAACAAAACACAGCATCTCTTTCTTTTCTTTTTTTTTCTTCCGTCCCCAGCATGAGAAAACAACCCAAGGAACGACCGGCTCCGGAAGAGTTAATGGTGAGTCCTCCTTGAGATGGCAGACGATAAAACTTTGCTAATTTATTACAGGCGGAAGTTTGTCAATTGTGTTTTCTCCACAAGTTAACCAACCTTAAATCTCAATTTTGCTTCCAGCTCTGACAGCCGGCAGATGCTGGCAAGTCATGCAGATAACTTCTCCCCTCCTTCCGTTGTCACGGTTTGCTCCGTTTCGCGAAGGGTTTTAATGACGGGTGGGAATCCATGACATTTGGCGCGGTCTTGTCAGGGCGTTAGAGCCTGTTCTGAGGGCACGTTAATTTATGGACCTGTGCAGCCATCCTGGTGGACTTGGTGTTGGCATCAAGGGCCTTTGCTGGTGAACCACTCTCCTGACAAAAGTACCCTTCAAGTTTTGGCAAGGCGTTCACATGAGGTGGGAGCGAGAATCGGCCTTGCAAGCGGTCCTGACCAAATCGCTTTCATTCTTCTTTGTGGCCTCCTGCTGGGCGCTGGGCCTTACCTCTTGTAATTATTATTATTATTATTATTATTTATTAAATTTCTGAATCAGCCAATCCCTGGGTATACAAGGCTCTGGGCAATTTACAACAGGTTAGAAACAACTAACTTTAACAGTTGGAGCTGCGGTGGCGCAAGTGGTTAAGATGCTGAACTGCAGGCTGTGGAAGGTCGGTAGTTCAGCAGTTCAAGACCCGGGTGCCGTATGACGGAGTGAGCTCCCATCTCTAGTTCCAGCTCCTGCCAACCTAGCAGTTCGAAAGCAAGAAATTGCAAGTAGATAAATAGGTATCACTTCGGTGGGAAGGGAACAGCGTTCCGTGCGCCTTGGTGTTTAGTCATGCCGGCCACATGACCACGGAAACGTCTTCGGACAGTGCTGGCTCTTCGGCTTTCAAACGGAGATGAGCATCACAACCCTAGAGTCAAATTCGACTGGCTTTCGAGCAAGGGAACCTTTACCTTTACTAGAAACAATACAAAAATACAGATTAAAATCAACAGACCAGTGGTTCTTAATTTAATAGTCTCCCGATGGCGTCCGTAATTTAATCTAAAACCTACTCTGGGCCAGTGTCCCCTCTAAGCTGAGTTGGTGTGAGCCAGCTCCCAGTTTTTTAGCCCCTGGCTCACACACTTCTGTCTTAGCTCAGGAAGGATGGGGCTCCAGAGCAAACTAATTTATGCAGGAGCCAAATGGCTCACTCACAACTTTAATGCCAGGAGCTCACAAAGTGGAATTTTGGCTCACTGGACTCCACAGCTTAGAGGGAACATTACTCTGGACTGTTCTTCTGTCTCGCGGGCAGGTTAAGGAGGAGGCCGAAGCAGGTAGAATGGAATAAAATAAAATAAAATGGGAGTGCCAGCTATGATGGAAACCCCTTGCTGCCTTCAACCAAAGGCCTGGCGGGACATCTCTGCTTTACAGGCCTTGATGGAAGCTGGCAGAGAGTTCCAGCAAGTTGGAGCCGGAGCTCTCAGAGTAGGACCCCTTGCAGACTGGGGAAGGCAGCTGCCAGCCAGTGCAAGCCACGTACAGTTGCGTACAGGTGCACCCAGGCCAGCAGAGCTGGGCACAGCTTGCAGATGGACTCACCCGGACCCACTAGAGCGGCTGGTTAAGTGTGCGGACTCTAATCTGGGAGAACCGGGTTCGATTCCCCATGCCTTCACTTGCAGCCGCTGGATGACCTTGGGTCAGTCACAAGTTCTGTCAGTGCTGTTCTTGCAAAAGAGCAGTGTCTGTCAGAGCTCTCTCAGCCCCACCTCCCTCACAGGGTGTCTGTGGTGGGGAGGGGGGGGGAAAGGAGTTTGTGAGCCGCTCTGAAACTCCTTTGGGTAGTGAAGGGCCATGGGGTATAAATCCAATCTCCTCCTCCTCTTCTTCTCTCCTTCTCTGCCTCCTTTGTGGGGGTGGGACCTAATCCTGAGCCATTCTTTTCTCCAGCCCACCCCCGCGGCCATCCACTCCTACACCCTCACCTACTGAAGTGCAGACTGCTTTTGCACTGGAAGGACTTTGGGACACGGGTTGCAGTATAGTAACGTGGGTGAGATGGAGGGGAAGGGGAGGCCTCTGCCGTTCTAAGAAAAATCCACAATCGGCCTTCTCCAGGCTTATCAGGCGCCATCTCCCTCCCCATTTCTTCCTCTGCACATGGGAGGCTTGACCGTGGATCTAAATATGGATACGAATCGATGCCAAAGATAGCGCTTGAGCAATTGCCTGGTTCCTTAGTGGGGCGGAACTTTTGTCTTTCTCTCCCCGCTCGTCCATTCCCTGTTTGGGTAGTGAGGGTTGAGGCTGCCTTAATTTGCCGCCTTTTCTTTTTTTTATTAACTTTTGATGGTTGGAAGGTTCCTGCACTTAGTCACATCTGAGAGAACTTGGAACAGGTTCTAGAGAGGGAGATGCATTTACCTTCTGCGTTGTTATTATTCTATGGCTGGGTAGCTTGACTATTAAACCAACAGAATGGGGTTTCATAAAACCTGTATCTCTTTGTAAATGCATGTTTTTCCCCGTGATGCGATAGGCCTGCCACTCATAAATAAAACATCTGCAGTTCCGTGCTCCCAACCCCCCGTATAGATGTGTGCATTTGGAAGCTATAACACCACTCCAGGGTGTAAAGTCATAAAGGCGGGGAGGCCAAGGGGTGAATGCCGATAGGAATGGCGACAAAGAGTTATATATCTCTCCAACTACCTGCCCTAAGGTGGCCGAAGCTTCGCATAAGACAGGATTCTTTTTTCTTTACCCCTTTTAATAATTTTTTAAAAGCACGATTGCCTCAAAAAGAGACCTTTTTAAAAAAAGATTTGTGTTCCTCCCAGGTTGCAAGCCCTTTATGGAAAATGGGCTCCTCCTCACCCAGCATAGCCATTTGGTACTTGATGAAGCCTGGGACTCTGGAGGGAAGAAGAAGAAGAGGAGGGGAAGGAGGAGGAGGAGGAGGGACCTATACCTCGCCCTTCACTTTCCAAAGCAGTCTCAGAGCAGCTTACATTCTCCTTTCCCTTCCCCTCCCCACAACAGACACCCTGTGAGGTAGGTGGGGCTGAGAGAGCTCTCCTGAGAACTGCTCTTGAGAGAACAGCTCCGGGAGAATTCGTGACTGACTCAAGGTCACACCAGCAGCCGCATGTGGAGGAGTGGGGAATCAAACCCGGTTCTCCCAGGTTAGCACCCGCGCTCCTAACCACTACGCCAAACTGGAAGGCAGCTGATACTGCAGCCAGGAGACCAAAAGAGGAGAGGCGTTGGCGGCTCACGTCATGTTCCAGTGGGGGGTTGTTGACGCAGCGTTCGCTGGCTCCAGTGAGGCTGGCGCAGAACAGCAGACCTGCTCCTGTTCTGGACCTCAGAATCCTGATGGCTTTTGGAGCTGCAAGGTGTGTTCCCTCCCAAAGCCGTCTTTCCCCTCCAGTTAAGGAAATCTATACGAAAGGCTCGGGTAGCTCAGTTTACTTGAAAAGAAAAGCGAGGCCGTCCCCAGCTGTGTTGGAACCCCCAGGCAGGGCATCACCTATGTTGCTTTCCCCCCTAGTTGAACCCAGACAGACGATAACCAGAAACCAAGTTAGTCATTCTTTTTATCTGTTAAAAAACACCTTCACTATTTTGCATGCTAATTTATTTATTTATTTATTTATTGAGATTTATACCCCGCCCTCCCCGCAGAGCGGGCTCAGGGCGACTTACAAGGGGCAACGCCCATATGAAACAGATAAAAGCAATAAAAACATTAATAACAATTAATAACAATTGTACTCATTTAACAAGATGGTCTCCAGATACATGCCAGATGGTAAATAGACAGTTCTCCAAGGATGATGTTATCCTATAGCTCAACCGGGTAAATCCAGTGGTATCGGTCACGCAGAAGTTGTGGCAGATCTTCTCGGGCCATCCTTAACCCCGATGTTGTCCACCTCATTGGTGGCGGTGGTAGTGGTGGCCCCTATGTGAAAGCCTGGCGGAAGAGCTCCGTCTCACAGGCCCTGCGGAACGTTAACAAGCCACCCTGTATATGTACAAGTATGATGTGTAATTCCATTTCATTGTCTGACGAAGTGTGTGTTCACAAGAAAGCTCACACCTTGAATAAGACTTCGTTGGTCTTAAAGGAGCCCCCCTGGACTCTTAACTTTGTTCTGTTGCTTCAGGCCAACAAGGCTTCCTACCTCTATCTATCTTTTGAGATCCAGAAGTTCTGTTGCCCAGCAGAAATGTTTTTAAACGTTCAGACAGAAGTCCACAGATTCAGATCAGCAGGCAGTCCGGATGACCGAGCGTAAGAAGCTGGCTGAGAATCGTATCCTCTTGGTCCAGGGTTTGGTTTCCAACAGAGGGTAGCCAGATGTCTCCAGGTACTCACAGGCAGGGTGAGAATGTGATGGCCTTCCTTTGGTTGTTCCCAGCTTCAGGCACATGATGATATACTGGACTGAATGTGGAGGGTTTCATTTACCTGTCTTGGCTAATGGTCCTGTCCAGTGTTCCCTCTAAGCTTAGTGTGAGCTAGCTCCAGGGCTCTTTTTGTAGAAAAAGCCCAGCAGGAACTCATTAGCATAATAGGCCACATCCAACAGCAGCAACTCATTAGCATATTAGGCCACACCCCTGACAGCACTGCTCATTAGCCCATTAGGCCGCACCCCCATGTTACCAGAAGTGTGCTCATCCAGCCACACCCACCTTTTGCTTCTTATTCTGTTTACCTTGTTTGTTGTCAAAACCCAGGGCCTTTTTTTGGAGCAGGAACTCCTTTGCATGTTAGGCCACACACCCCTAATGTAGCCAATCCTAATGAGTTTCTGCTGTTGGGTGTGGCCTATTATGCTAATGGGTTCCTGCTGGGCGTGGCCAACCCGGGAGCCAGCCGGAACTCCGTTCCTGTGCGTTCCTGCCCCAAAATAGCCCTGGCTAGCTCACAGTCGTTTAGCCTCCGGCTCACACATTTTTGCCTTCGCTCAGGAAGGAGGGCTCCAGAGCAAACCGATTCATATAG